TTCAGATTATTTGTTGACTGCAGGATGGTAACAAAACACTTCAGCACAAGCAGACAGTGGAGCCTGTGAATACCTGATAAATGCTCTCATCTGATTGGTCACGGATGGGTTCGTGTCCCGCCTCAAACACAATGTACTACAGCATCAGCAGCAGAGGAATGAGAAGGAAAGAAGCAGAACAGACATGGGGAAGATAAAGAAATTGAGTGGAAAGTAGTGATTTTTTTTCAAGGAACATCATTCAAAGAGTTCTGTAATTAGGCTGTTAATTAAAAGCAGTGCAAGACAGATTCATCTTGGTGACACATGAAGGGAACGTTGAGGAGCGAAAACCTCTAACAGCAGCTCAGAAAAATTCTACATTTTCGTTTTGGTTGATCATGCACCCCTAGTGGCAGACGAGCACAGACGCACTGAAACAGCTTCATCCTTTACCGTGGATGACTTCACATGCAAATCTGCGGACGTCTGAGGCGTCACGCTGCACATGTGGTGCCGCTACCACGCTGTAACAAAAACAGGAGCTGTCTCCCCACAGTGCACACACAGAGGAGCAAGCTGACTGATTTAGGAATGGAGCAAGTGACAGCAGCGATCTGATTGGTTGGGAAATTACCTGGTAGACCGGGTCCTCTAGATCCTCCTCCAGAATTGTCTGCAGATGGGTAGCGGCGGCGGCGGCAACGAGAAGAGGAGGAGATTAAACAGGGAGATGAGAGGAGCAGCAGGGTAAAGACAAGAGAGGGAAGAGGCAAGGTGTTATGTTGGTGAAGGAGAAGGAGAAGAGGAGCAGACAGAAAGCACACAGCAGTTTCCTAACAATTAACATCAGCACTTCATGATCACAGTGTCAAGGAGAGATTAGCAGAAGAACAGTAAACATCCAGGAGTCAGGACAGAGAACAGTGAAGCGTCACGGCCTGATAATCCATCCTATTATCTTCTGTTATGAATTGTTTTGATGAACAAACACCATTCTCAAAAACCTGCACCCATTGTCAAGCAAATAACAGAGAACGGACTTGATGCCTCTTTTTTTTTTTTACCAAATATTATACTAATCTACTGAAGGGAAATACTAACAGTTGCAGTTGTCAACAGTCCATGGATGCCATTTCCTCATTATAATATGCAAAAAAATTCTAATAGAAGACAGATTTGGACACAACACCAATGTAAACATAAAGCCAGGTTTTTATATTTCGTGCAGAATGAAACCTTTTAGCATTTTCCCTCTCTGCTAAAACATCAACAGCTCCTTGGTAAAGGCCTCTGAATGGGAATATCTAAGCTTTAAGTGTGAACATTTTTATACAACATTTTAACACACTGCACTTTACTTTGCATAATTTCACATACTGTATATGCTGATCCTTAATGCCATGGCTACTAATGTACTCCAAACACACACCACAGAGTCTGACCTTTGCACCATATTCCCAAAACTCCTACAGATACAGTATATTATATAGCCATTAAAAATGCTGTGATTGGACGGTGTGAAACGAGAAGGAGAACGCACCAACCACTCCTTCACTAAACTGCTAACTCACGATAACAACACCACAGTTCTTCTAATGCTGAAGGTCTGAAGATCACACACACACATGCAGCAGTGGTGTAGTGTCTCCAACGTGATGCCCAGATTTCTGTGGACTTCAGAAATCAAATGTATTTAATACAGATCAATTTTATCACATTTACTGCTAAAACCGAGCCCTTGGTAGATGCTCCTTTAGACCTTGTGTTGATCCACAGATCAGTTACCAGTTAACTAGCAACCTTCTACATGTATTACTCACCGGTCCTAATATATAGAGAGTGTTCTTCAGGTATTCATGTTTCTGAGTCATTGATGTTTATTAACTTTAAAAACTAATACAAATTAATTACATTTGTCATTCAAGTCTGCCAATTATATCTAAGCCTTTGCCAACTTAATCCTAGCTAGGGATTTTATTTGAACTTTTCTGACCAAGGCGATGATGAGGACAAAGACAAAGTTTACCTGATACACAGCCTGCTCACACTGCTTGTCTTTCTGGGCTTTCTTCTCCATCTCTTCCCTTTGTTTTATTTCATAGATGAGCTGGAACAAGTCCCGCAGGTCCAGGATCACAGGCTCAGCCTGCGAAGGCAAGAACAAATCAATCAGCACACCAACAAGATACACACATATGGATCACATTTACAGGCAAAAGTCCTCTGATTCAAACAGCCATGGTTATTCAGGTTATGTGGTCAACTCACACACTGCACATCAGCACGTATGTCATTCACCTACAATAACACTTCATAATCACGGACAGAAAAACATTAGAAGAGTCTGACTATATTTATTTAGATTTTATAAATACCAAATGTATCAAAATGATGGTGGTTGAGGCAAGGAGCACCGATGTGGACTTCACTAGTTTTGTTACTGGAATAAAACATTAAACTGTAAGGACCTGAGTATATAATACAGTTGGGATAGAGCTGTCCTTAAAAACGTAAAACATACATTTCGCAGCTTATCTTCCCTCCTCATGGAAACAGGAATATCATTAGGTCAGTGACTGCTTTAAACAATCATGACACTGTGATGTGTTTCTCATTTTCAGCCTGCTTTTTCTGTTATAAACTCTCTGCCTTCTACCCTCTCTCCGCCGGCTCCAATATTCTGCAAACACTGAAAATGAGAGTAAAATACAATAGTGACCTTTCCCCAGGCGCACATCAGGTAAATGACATCGTAGTTGACTGATGAGGACTTTGCCCCGTGCTACACTCTTATAGAGGGTAGCATTTGGTGAGCAACATTTATTGTGTGGCTGCTGTTTATTTTGAGTAGAGTGCAGTGTGTGTGTGCGTACACGGGTGCTGGAGCATGTGTGTATCTGTCCAAGTCAAAGAGCAATGGCTCATGGCCCTCGGAGGATGGATATGCCATTAGAGTCGGTGACACACACTCAAATCCTCATCGACTCACTATGGGAAATCAATATGGCTACAGAGTGAGCCAGCTGGATCCAGCCTAAACAGGCCAGGCACGCAGACACAACAATAGGAACAACAATCACAGGAGGTGCAGAAAAGGTACTGAGTATCACAGAGAATAGGTCGCTGCTGAACTGTACATTACCCTGTCCACAGCTACTGCTGAACGGTGTCGAGAGTTTGTTTGATGAACAGCGTGAAGGGCCCTGAGCGGGTGCTCGAGGGTCCTTATCTAAATGTCAAGAGCTTTGAGCCATCAGGAGAGGCCTCTGATGAATCGTACAATAACCTACACACAAAGGTTACGAGACCACGCGTGTACAAACACATGCCAGCCGCTCGAATACACAGACACTGACCGACTGCGCCGTCTTGATGGCCACGAAACGGTGGTTCCCTTCCTTCCCGCACACGTAGCCAAAGGCCCGGTGGTCTGTGATGTCCTTGGCGATGTAGGAGATCTCATGGACTGCATGGTGGTGTTGTAGAACCTGGAAACACGGACAACACAAAGTTCAATAAAAATACAGGAGGTCAGGACACTTGTTGATTCCACATATAGAGACAAACAACCAGTCACATCTACGTCTTGATGTTCAAGTCAGCATCTCCAGTTACTCTTCTGCGTGTTTTTCGAATGTGAGAAGTACATAAGGTACTCAGAGAAACACCCCACTGGGAACATTTCCTAAAACACAATCCAAACAGGTGACGGTTTTCCTCGGGCCAACCACTTCACCACCGTACAGCCGCCTGACTAAAGTATTAAAAGATCTCTAAGGGGACATGCTTTTTTAATTAAACTGCAGATATTATATCCTTAAAGCAAATATATAACAATTTCTCACTCTCTTTCAGCTCAGTAAATCCCTGAATAAAAAAGATTTTGGCTAGTTTTAATGTCATTGTTTTAAGGATGTTGGCATCAACATCTTAGGTTCATAAACCACTTCATGAAGAGGAAAGTTACAACAGAGCAGCCGAAGAATTCCCCAAATTCCTCTACATGTTCTCAAAGACCTGTTGAAGTGACACAGTGACACACAGAAACAAACCCATCTCACAGCGAGACCTTGTAGCTGACATTAAACTGTTTCTAGCTCCCCTGCCCTCTCTTGTTTAGCCCGGGCGACGAGTGCCAAGCTGGCAGTGCCCGTGGCAGATGGCACTGTTTTTCCTGAGGACATGGGGGGGGGATCAGTGACAATCACAGCTCGGCAAGCTGTCGACTTGATCACTTCATCTGTGCCTTCATTCTCTCTCACGATCACATACAAACACAATTCACAACTTAATATTCAACGGCCCTCTGCTAAGTAACACTAAATGTTTGCTTTGTTGCGTCAGTCCATGCCAGCTGCATGCTGGGAGCAGCCTCGCAGTCAGCCTAGGCTGTCATAATGACCCAGTAGCCCTTGAATGCATGCTAGCAGTGGAGCAGAGTATATCAGAGGCTAAACACACACATCTGCCACTCTGGGTGTATTCACACAGTCAGATAGGGAACTTTACGGTCATAGCCATTATGTAGGTGGCGGTGGGATGTGCACGCACGCACACACACACACACACACACACTGGAAACCCAAGTTGTAATAGATAATTATTGTTGGAGTCAGGCTCCTGAATTTAATAATTAGTTTAATTATTATCATTATAACCAATGATTGACCTGGAAATGACTACACGGGCAGCCAGTGTACATGCACACACACTAACCCACACAGAGCTCATTTACTGAGGTTATTGAATTATCTATGGGTGGGTGGTGAGGTGACAAAGGACAAGAGAGACAGAGAGAGAGAGAGAGAGAGAGAGAGAGAGAGAGAGAGAGAGGACACTGAGATGGCTGCATCAATCCATTTGTTCTGGAAGTGAAGCTCCGAGTGTCGGGACAGTCTCTGTGAACATAGTACCACGTTTGTCAGGTGTGGCATGAAGCAGATTGAACAAAACACAACCACAGTGTTTTTCAGATTGTGAATAAAGGTGGGTTTGGGTGGGTGACATCTTACAAGTGAGAGATTTTTGTTTTAAATAATTTAATTAAATTTGTGTGGATTAAGACCAACGCTCACTAACGGCTAAGAATCAATTCAAAGTAAAGGTTTATGAAGAGAGCTCTAAGTAAAATATTACAACATTGACATTTTAAAAATTCCCCTTTATTCATAATATGTCTAGGTACAAATACAGGCTCATTTCTAGTAATATGAAATAAACCTGGCATAGAAATGTTTGGGTCAAGACTCTTGGTCTGAACATAATCAAAGATAAAATCTGATAATTATAACCAAATTACAATTACATCACACTTTCCTATTAATTTAAAATAGTTTAAACACAAAATATTTTTTTTTGCAATTGTCCATTTTTTGTTGCTCAAAAATTGAACTTGCATTATAATTGATATAAAAAAAGCTACTGTATGAGTTAGTTTAGTTGTTTTTCTTCAAATTAAACGTTAGCTCTCTGTAGGTAAGTGTTCCAGTAAGTGGGTCCTATGAAAACAAAGACTAATGCTAATTCTCTGCTGGTTTTTTATCTTTGTCCATTTGAACACATCATGTCTGAGTCCTGACCTGACCTGACCTGACCTGAGGTAATCCCTATAGATCGTAAACTGTCTGCCTGCTACGTTCATTCTGTCCATGCACAAACCTTTTATTAGGAGTGTTCTCTTTACTCTCTCACACGCCACGTGATCAAAGTCACAGGGCGTGTGCAGTGATTGGTCAAGGGCTGCCTGTGAGCGGACAAATTACGTTTTTAGGGTTGTAAACTGAGGTGTCATATAGTTTTCTATCATATCACAGTGCCTTGTGATCTGAAATTGTTGACAACGGTTAAGTGTTTTTCTCTGTAGCCGATGTGAGTCTTCTAATTCAGAGGAACTGACAGCAGATCTATAAACGTCAGCCAATTTCCACCCTTTTCTCTCCCTAATTGTTTTGGGGCAAAACAAAAAATGCGTTGACAATTATGGGCTTAACTGGTTTGGTAAAAAATACCTTGTTCTATTTGGGTCAGCCTGACCAAAATAGATAAAAACAGACAACGTTTCTCCCTCCATCACAAATGAACCCTGGATGATTACTTTAAAAGTTGCCATAGGAAATTTAAACTCAAGTGCTTTTATTGGATTTAATGCTTCAAGACGTAGTCGTTCTCCTCTAATCTTTGTGGATATTTTTCCAACAATTGTGCTTTTGTTGCATAACTTTGTTCTGAACATCATGGCAAAGTCCCAGGAGACCGGTCATCACTGGAGCAGACACGTCTGGAGGCAGTTGGCAAATAGATGCAGTCCTTTGTGAAGTGTTTGAAAAAACAGGTGGGTGTATGGAAAAGTCAATACCAACTGTGGTACCTTGTCTGGTCGGTTTAGCACTGTTGACGTGCACCTCTGGTCAGTCTCTCTCTCTCTCTCTCCTCATTACTTTCTCTCTCTTTTTTTACACAAACACGCACACACACGTCTCTCTAAAGGCCCGTGGGCAGCATGCCCTGCAGCAGTTGCTGACCACCATACTCCCTGTTAGACTGAGGAGGGAGGAGGAGAAGCAACAAGACTCTGTTTTTTCTCCTTCATGAACTTCAAATATAATTCCAGGTGTAAAATCATCAGAACAGACTGAGGCGAGTATTTCCCTGGTAATACATCTAAATACGTATATCCAAGGCAGGTCCAAAGTATGATATGGACCTGTTTCGACACAATTTTCATTTATCAACAAATGACAAAATATATGAAACATTAGGAGTGAGTGCCAAGAAATCACGTACTTAATGGCGCCTCCTGTGGGGCCTGTGTGGGTTGCAGAGACTCACTGTGAATTTTCCCATTGTGGGAGGAATAAATCAATTTATTTTTATTTACTTTTTTAAAAACTAAATCATGTTTAATGTACTATTAGAAGGAAACGGGAGACCTAAAAAATGATCACTTCCATTCCCAATATCACATCTGTGCTAACGGCTAACTAATGTAAATGTCAAAACAATCCCGTCAGAGATGTTTTGTGGGGGAACTTGGACTTTTTTCTGTTCTGCACTCAACCCATTACCCTCGACTTTTACTGAGAATACCAAAATTACACATCTGTATGTTTACAGAATGGTTCATTGCGAGGTCCACTAATTGTTGGTAAGTGGGACATTGCTTCATTTGATGAGATACACCTGTGTGTCCCTAACTTATTTTCTGGGGACCCATATTTTAAAAGTCACAAACCTTCACGACCCAAGTCAATAGACATTATTCATAAACTGCTGGGAAACATGATGCGAAATGACCCAAAAAATAATCTCTTGCGACCTACCCGAGGGTCGCAACCCAGTCTTTGGGAAACAATGCGATACATAATGTGAAGAACTAAGTTCACACCTCCTTTTTCTTTTCAGGCATTCGCAATTTCATCCCTGTCCAGCCTCCTAATGCTGCGTTTCCATCTTTTGTTCCAAGTCCAATTTGTTTTTCTTGTAAATTCCTCGGCAGATCTCATGTAATTTGTCAGAACAATTAACTGAGAAGGAGTGGGCCGTCGGGGTCGACCTCCCCGGTCTGGTGAGTTCTTACCCTGCCAAGGTGAATCAGCCTTGACCTGACTGACAGAGACATTAAAGAAGGTGGCTGGTCCATGTAAGTGTGTGCGCGTGATATAGAATGTGAGAGAGAGGCCGAGAGAGATGTGTTGGTCTGCCCTCCGCTAGATTAATGTCACTTCTCCATCTCCAGCGCCACCTTCCTCCACTCTGCACGACCTTCCCTCCTCCAAAGGAGAGGCCATCCATCCATTTGTTCACCCATTCATCCTTCCACCCATCTGGCTGACTGATGCACAGGAGGGGGAATGGGAGTGTCAAGGTACCTGAACCTCAGCACACTCCCCCTCTGTCCCTCCCTCCCACCCTCGCTCTTTCACCTTTCCCAGCCATTAGGAGAGGTTGAAGGACTGATTGTGAGGACAGCGTATCTCTGTAGTTAATATTAATGTGCAAAGACAGAGGACAAGGTCTCCCTGTTGAGGGAGCTACGCTGACATCCGCTGAGTGATTCTCCAGCTATCCCTCTAACTCTCTACCGCTTTGTCTCTGTTCCTTTGCTTTGATCCACCCTTTGTCTTTTTCACGTCCTCTTTCTTCCTGCCATCTGTCCCTTTCTTGTTTCTTCTCTTTAACATCTTCTTCACATCGTCTACGTGCTTCTCCTGTTCTACCTTATTATCCCCTCCTATCTGTCGACACGGGGTCTGAAGCAGCAGGAAGGTACGTGACGGTTATTTAGATGCATAAAGAACTGGACTTTATGATTCATGCACTAATGGAGCTCTCCTCAGAACACAAATAAGAAAATCAGGCGTCTCCAGTGACTTGAAATGAGGTATGTTGAAAAACAGAGCAAAAAATATATTTTTGCAGCAGGTTTTAATTTAGATGCATCTATTTTTTTTTCTTTTCCCAAATGTAAAAGAACCTTTATTGAAAGGAACTTATTTCAATACCTATAAAAGGCAAAGAAGTTTCACCTGGAGTGAAAGACTTCCCCCAGAATTCTGCAGAGATGGAAACACCACTAACCCAAGAGGTTAGACTTTACTTTTTGACTTACACTCATTCATGTGGGCACCAACCTCTCCATGAGGTGTACGATACAGACCCTCACCAATTGTCCTGAAGTTTTCATGTAATCAAAAAAATGTAAGTATTAAAACAGTCTGGACTTCAGGAGTTAGGTGTCCTGGAGTTAAACAGGAAGTTCACATTAGAAGAAGAAGAAGAAGAAGTTTTGAGTTTTTACACTGAATGCCTTTCCTGGTGCAACCCGACCTTGGTTGTCGACCCTAGGTGGTATCAAACCCACTGCCTCACTCTAGCCCCCTTTTGAGTTGCATACATAGTAACAGTGTGTGTTCATTCTGCCTTACATTTTTTAAACTAAGACTGTTTCACTTCTGGAGCTAATACAAAAGTATGAAAACTCTTCTGCTCACGTGTGTGAACTTCTCACTTCCTTACATCATTAGCAGCAGAGGGAGGTAAAATGGCCGGTTTGTTGCCAGTGTCATTTACACAGGGCACCAAATACCCTGGGAACTGGAGGCGGTATATTTCTTACTCAAGGATACAGTGGCAGAAATGGTTAGTTTGAGGACAGAACCTCAGTTATACATGTCACAGCGGCCTTGAGTGAGAAATATAAAAAGGAATCACTACACTCTGCTGGTCACTCTCCCCGAGGTACGAGCACACTCCATCCCTAACAGGATTTAACCACTAAATTTGCAGCTAAGCTGTCCAGAGTGGGTCCACATGCCACTGACTGTCCAGGATATTTTGAACGTCTGAAATCAAATTAAAGTGGAGAAGAAAAAATCATGCAAACTCTGTCCCTGATTAAAGGCAGTAAAACAGCAGAGACTGAATGAATCTACCTGGACAAACAGCAGAGCGGCCATGTTAAATGTAAATGCATCATCATGGAATATATTATCATGCTGCGCCACGATTGTTTACAAAGACGCAAACAATGGAATAGCCATGTTCTCTCATCTACTAAGGTCTTGTTCTCCGGGTTTCAATTACGGCCCCCTGATTTCCCCAGAGGTCTCCTCCTCTCAAAGAGATGTCTCATTAATAGAGAAAACACACACAAACAAGTATAGGTCCAATGCTGCATTCAGTGCACACACACACACACAAACACCCACAAACACACACACACACATATATAGAGAGTCACAACTGATGAGCTTACCCCTGACTTTTCATCAAAGATCTTGATCCCACCAAAGGAAACAGTCAAAAACACCTTCTGTTTGTGTTCTCCTTTGGACCGTGCTGCCGCAGCGATACCCTGAGGACAGAAAGACACACTCACAGATACCACGCAAAAAACCGCGGAAGAGGCAGCGGAGAAACCTACGTACTCTGTAATGATATGGTGTCCTCATGAAGACATTCCCTTTGGAGCCAATCGACGATATAAATACACCGTATTCATGTTTGACTGTGTTTCCAGTGGATTACCGATGGAGACCTCAACAACTTCTGTGTAATTTGTGTAAGGTTTTATTTACAACTCCAAATGTATCGAAGAAAAAAGAAAAGGGTTCCATCAACTTCAACTCTAATCTTTGAGGTTGAATGTAAAGGACAGGTGGGCAAAAGAAACAAGATAGGAGGAGCCCGGGCTCTGAGCTTGTTTGGGGGGGGGGGGTGGGGGGT